ATATTTATATCATTAAAGAATGATTCTTTCTATAAAATATACAAATAGTAAAGTAGTGATTTTAATTTGGTTACCAATATACTCAATAGATCTACTAATCATACTACAAAGAGTGAATACTGTTGAAATTTAGAATTCATTAAGTATAAAGTAACGAATTAATAAGTAGGATTATTTAAGTTTGATATTTTACTCGCTTAGTAGTGTTTAGCTTTCTAAATAGAAACTTAACATATTATACATAGGCGAAGATGGATGGTGACTAGCAGTGGAATCCAGGACGAACGTTTCATCCTACTTGTGAGTCGTCAGTTAGATGTACTTACATTCCAGAATTGATGTTCACGCTGGAGCTCGAACCCAGTACTGTTCATTTCAAACGTTATTATGTTATTCACTTAGATACTGAGTGCTCATACTCAATAGCTTATGAAATGGGGTGAATTTTAATTTCATTTTATATTGTTCTGTTGAATCTTCCCACTGATAATTAGGACTGTAATTGATTAGTCTCTTATGGGCATATATGTATACTGTCTCGATACTGCCTTAAGTCATAAGCATTCTAAGCAAAGATGGATTGTGATTAGTAGTGGAATACAGGACAAGTGTTTCGTCCTATTCAAGTCCCAGAGTACATACAGCTGACGAGTCTCAAATAGGATGAAACACGTGTCAAACTGGATTCCATTGTTAATCACCATTCATCTTTGCTTATAATGGTTGTAACTTAAGACAATATCAAAGCAATTCGTATAGAATGCTCATATGATAATAAGAGTCTGATCAATTTCACTTTTAAACATCAATGAAACGATTTAAACAAACAATACAAAATGAATATTATACATCGTTTTCATTAATTAATCAACAAAAAAGAAAAACAACCCATTTTCCATTGAAACAATTAACTTCAGTTAGACTTATTCATAATAGTAACTGCCATAAAATTAACTTTAATAATAATAACAAACTAATTAACGTGACAATAAACAAACATAAAATGGTAATTAATGTAAAAGAAAAGTTTACAAGATGAACCAAACAAACAAACGAACAACAACAACAACAAGCGAATATAAAACTTGATATAAAATTGCGAAGTTCTAATAAAAAGAGAAAGAAAAAAAGGCGTCGAGTTTTCTTTTTTTTTCCTTGTTTTGTTATAGCAACATAAAAGAAAAAAACACACAACAACAACAATAACTTGAAATCACATTAATTATGTGTAGAAGTTTATATAGATAATTAAAATAATCCATTGTGTTATTTCAATGGATAAGATCATGAATCAGTTGAAGCTAGACCACTATGGAAAACGTGAAAGCACTGGACGGCCGTTTCGTCCTATTGTGCAACTCCTCAGCAGTGCGCATTCACAACCTCGATCCCTGCGAGATTCGAACACAGGATCTACTGGTTTCGCGCGTGAACACTTGACCCCTAAACTATTGTGTTATTATTATTATTGAATAAAAATTAAAAGAGTTTCGAGAAGAAAATAATCGTTTCAATGAAATCATTTACTGAAACTGTATATTTATATTTATAGTTACAGGGATATGTCTATAATAAAAGGATAGAAAAGATACCGTCATAAATTGATATGAAACTTATTATTATTAGATGAGGTTATGTAATAATCAAGGAATGATTATCTATCTAGATACGTTGATAGTAACTTAACATTGAAGTATTACACAGATTGAAATCATGAGTCAATTGAAAATAGACCACTATGGAAAACCTGGGAGTACTAGACGGCTGTTTCGTCCTAGCATGGGACTCCTCAGCATCGCGCACCCACGACCCCTCAGGGCTCGAACCCAGGACCTATCACTCTCGCGCTTAACCAACTAGACCACTGAGCCGGCCGGTGTCCAGTGGTGTTAATGTCTAACTTCAACCAATCTACGAAGTTGCGCCACCGTACACCATTGTCTTCAGTGAGTTACAATCTCACAACAGACCTGGTTGAACTCCATTGGTAACGGCTTCTCACTAGAACTCCAGGAGTATCTCTTGAAGTCAGTCACTAGTGAGCAGATGATTATTATCGGAAGGGGTTTGTGGAGATTTTAGAAATTTCACAGATTGAAATCATGAGTCAATTGAATTTAGATATTATCCTGAAAAAGCAACGACAGTATAAAAGAAAACTCTTTTTTAAAAATATGGAATTTAAAAGTGATACAAATGTTGAAATCTTGAATCAACGAATTTCAAAATCACTAAATAAAACGTTCTATTTAGTAAAGCTCCGAATTCTGTTCTCAATTCGATCCACCTGTTATAACTTGTACTCTGTGTCTTATCGATGGTGGTCTAGTTTACATCGATTCATGAATTCAACTACTAAAATTACTACAATCTCCACAAACCCTCAATCTGATAACATGTGATGTTTATTAATTAATAATTATCTGTGCGTAAAATTGATTTGAAAAATGAGTATGTTGTTCAAATTAGCTCACATGTTTTCTAAAGGATGAAACTGAATTCTTTCCAATTATTAATCTGCATCGTGAAAATTAAACTGGTTTCCAAATGCAAGTTTTACAGTCATTACTCTTTTAATTACAATAATTTACGTATTATACTTAAATTCTCGTACAACTGGACACTGTAAACAGTATACGTGATACAAATAGAGAGATAGAATTATGAAAAGAAAACATCAATCGGTGAGAAATAGTTAATAATAGAAGTTCAATCTAGCCGAAAAGAGCATTTTTTTTCAGTCAAGAGAATTTCGCTAAATTACATAAAGAATGAAATCGTAAATTATAGTAGGATTGTCAATGACTTCTGTTCTGACCTTTGACTGATAACATCTCAAATTATTGAATTCCACTATCTTTAAGAGTCAACTAAGAGTTATAGATTGATAGATATTTTTCCTAAATAGATTTATGGTTCGTAGATGATCTAGCCCCTCTATCGTACACACACGAACGAATACAGATGAAGACAACTAGTGCAGCAGAAGCCTTTGCATCAGTAGGCCTCAACATACACAAGGGAAAAAGGAGGATCCTGAAATATAATACAGAGAACACCAACTCAATCACACTTGATGGAGAAAGTCTGGAAGATGTAGGATCCTTCATACACCTGGGAAGCATCGTCGATGAACAAGGATGATCGGATGCGGACGTAAAGGCAAGGATTGGTAAAGCAATGACCGCATCCCTACAGTTGAACAATATATGGAACTCAAAATAACTGTCAACCAATATCAAAGTCACAATCTTCAATACGAATATCAAGACTGTTCTATTTTATGGAGCTGAAACTTGAAGAACTGCCACAACGATCATCGAAAAGTTACAAGTATTTATAAACGGCTGTCTACGCAATATATTCAACATTCATTGGCCGGATATCATCAGCAACAGCCTACTGTGAGAGAGAACAAACAAGCTTCCAGCTGAAGAGGAAATTAGGGAAAGACGTTGGAGTTGGATAGGACACACATTACAGAAATCACCAAACTGCATCACAAGGCAAGCTCTAACTTGGAATCCTGAAGGGGAACAGAAAAGAGGAAGACTAAGCAAGACATTGCATAGGGAAATAGCAGCCATGAAAAGGATGAATAACAAATGGAAAGGGTTGCCCAAGACATGGTTAGATAGAGTGTTGGTAGGCAGCCTATTCACCTCCACGAGGAGTAACAAGCGTAAATAAGTTTATAGTTATGTCTACAAAGATTTTTCGATATTTGTAAAAGTTTAATATACTTCACTTGATCATTTATTTTCTTGTTTAGATTTATAATGGATTACATAATACGATTCAATTATCTAATTTTATTATTCGGTAAGATAACACGTTTTTTTCCCTTCAAACTGATGAGACTGTTTATTGATTTTTAATGAATAAATATCTGATTTCTACTATTATGTTATGTGTAGTGGTTCAAGTCCCAAACTACTATGCCAGATTTCTATCTACTAGCCTACATGAATTGAGTAAGAAAATCAAGAGATTTTGTTGGTTAAATCTGAATAGTAGAAAAATATGTGTAGACCATTATGATTCATAGAAAATTTAACCACATTTTCAATCAATAGTGTATATCTGTTTCCTTGGAAAATGAACCCAAATTTTGACTGATAGAGTAAACTTACCAAGATTTCTCAATTATTATTTGGTTTATATCGAATCGAATCACCGTATCATGTACTATTTAACTCTCTTCATTATTTTATCAAAATCTTTTATTTATTTGAACATATAAATATTGGTGAAATGGGGCACTGAACACATATACGCCATACAAGTCACTTGATTTGTGTGTGGGGGCTGAAATACTGCCCGGGTGCTCAAACCGAAGCAGGTGGGTTTTTTTAGGGGGTCACACCTGGAGCCTTCAACCTAAAGATCTAATCCACAAGACAATGGAACAACGTCAGAGCAGATTAAATATTTATAAATTGTAATCTGAAATATTTCATTTCATCAGAAAACTTTGTTGAATAAACTTAGTGAACATATTCAGTACAATTGATACACTGAAATTGAACGGTTGAATTAAATAATTTCGTGTTGAATATGCTAAAAGTGAATTGAAGCACCGAAGTTTTGGATTTCAACTACAACATATGTGCATATATTCTAATTACATTCAACCAATAAAAAGAGCCATCCAAAGGTTGAAAAATCCTACATATTTATGGTAATTTCAAAGAAATAAAAACAGTTGAATACGGTATGATATTCAACCTACCCATAGAATCAAGAGTTAACGAAGATAACTTCAGCTGATATGAACAGATCGCTGAAAAGATTATGTTACCTTTTATGATAGTGGTTTTAGCTGATTTGCATTTCTTCTGAATACCACTATTAGCTGTTCGTATATTATACAATGTCGTGGTATCTAAGTAGCTGAACTGTCTAAATTTCGTTCAAAGGGTCCTTAAGGTATCAAGTCGATCGTGTGCAGCAGTCTTCATGTCATGACATTGTTGAATGGGATTTGATTCGTGTCTTTGATGGCTGATATACCTCATGAAGTATTTCTCGGAAATAATTCACATTCACTTTTGGCCGTTATAACCACAACTGAAATGACAACCAGATCTTGTTCTTTGGATCGGTAACTATTTGTTTCAAGTGCTCTAGTTTGATGAGACAAAATTTTAATACTAGTGGGGGGAAAAGTATATCTGGTGTAACAAATTTAGATTTATCCTGTCAGGTTTGTTCCACTCAAACAAACGTGATATCCACAAAATTGAGACTACCAATATCTATGGTTAGGTCAGCTGCTGGTGATCCATGTAAACGTTGTGCACCAGTGCGAAAAGCGTACCTTTCCAAAATATCGAGTCAGTTGTGGGCAAGGAATGTAGAATAACAGACTAGACGCTTCTGCCGCATGATTGTTTCAGATTATGCAACGCTAGGTTATCGAACAACTGTTTTTCAATAAGTTTTAGTCTTCTTAATCCTAGTGTTTATTCTTTGGTCTCAGTTTTTCTTCTCGAGTCAAAACCTAGTACCCTGAGCAAACAGGCATTTAACTTGAGGCTACCATCTATTTTTGTATGGAGCCTACCATGCCAAAAATGAGATATAAAGGAAACACAGATGAGCTAAATACTTAAATACAAAATATTAAGATTTGTTTCGGTTAAATCTAAGAAATAACAAGAAAGTAAAAAGGGTTACTGAAAAGCGATAATGTAAAAGCACGTAGAATAATAAATTCCCTAAACACAATGAATTCAAGACGATACAGATTCATCAATAAATACAGACGAACAGTTAAACCAAGCGAATTAAAATTTTACGAGAGTAAGAGTCTTTTCTACAGTCAAAATAAGAATGGATCAACTGACCAGTATCAAATTACGTGATTCTCTGCAACAATCATAGGGGGGAGTTAAGCACAATCAGAAACACGAAATTTAGATACATTTTTTAGGATCTAACGTTGAGAACTGAAAAAAAGGCAAATAATAATCAAACTTTAACGAGGTGAAATGTTTGACTTGCTGGTTTCTACTGTAGGAGAAATTACATGATTTCATTAAGATCATAAACCGAAGCAAGTTTGACCAACACTGAAAACATGTATACGTTAGATGTCCGTTTCGGCCTGGAGTGAGACTCTTCAGCAGTGACCACCCACGATCCCACAAGCGTGGATCGAACCCAGAATTTTTTTCGCGCCAACCAATGAGCCGGAATACAACGGTTTCAATGTCTAAATTCAATCAATCCACAACAGTGTGTGACTATATTCCGTTGCATTCGATAGGTAGTTAACTGCCTCATACCCGACACGGCTTAGACCCACTGGTCGTGGATTTTCACTAGAACTCAATGAAATCCAACAATCTCCACAAACACTTAGGACGTTAACTAAATAAATATTCATGTCTCAAAATTCAGTAACAGTTTAGAGCGTATTCGAAAGTTTTGTTTTATCTGTCTCATTTAGTGTTTAGTGGGGCCTTTTATGTTTTCGTCATTTAGATTAGACGATGTTTGTTGACGGGCTCTCCACTTTAGTGACATATATTTAGTATCTTTCTGCTTCCCACAGAAAAATTAGTTTCATTTTTCAGTTCAAGCCTGTTGTTAAGTTGTATACTTTCTTTTTGATTATCATGATGAATCTGTAGTATAAAAAAAATTTTGTCTTCTTTTAATTTTCCAAACTTTTTACATCAAGTTTTAGTTTCTTCAATAAATTCATTAGATAGTATAACCGATTCTGATGATGTAGATGAGATAATAAATGAAGAACCAGAAAATATGGTAACATTTTATCGACAAGATCGTTCTACACTATTTCCACGAGTTGGTAGATCAGATACAAGGAGAATGAATAAATTGAGACGAATTCTAATGAACAATCCAGGTTTTACTATCGGTTCACCGAAACGAGCTGTTCGTATTGTGCGCTATGGAAAATAATAAATTGATCTTTGATTCCCATTATTGTGTGTTAATTCTTACGTTAAAATAATTATTATTAATAAAATATGAATGTTGAGCAATGTATGAGTAATAATTAATTGCTCTTTATTGGAGTATGTTTTTATTTATTGTTGCCAAATCAAAGAGTAAATAGTTGTACTGTAGTGAAGGAGAACACAGGTGAGGACAACCGAATTATATTTAGCACAATATTACAGAGTTACTTGGTAAAATTAAAAAAAACCCATACTATAATACCTAATTTGCAAAATGTTCAGTAATTGCCTCGGACTTCATTGTTTTCTGTTCCCGTCCTTCCTTTCTTGATCTTCCCAATCTTTTGCTACCAGACGTTACATTCCTGACTCGCATTATATATTACTTATGTCAATATAAGTAGCACGCACCACAATACTACACTCTAAGAGTTGTGTCTGATACAAATTACGAAGAAATCTCTTCAAATGTATCTGAAATTTTATTTCATAAGTTTTACTGACTACAATTATGTAAACGAAATAAATAACTAGGAATTCTAGAATTTAGATAGAGATGTCATGATTATGATTGGATGAGCACTCCATTATTAGCACCGTGGAATTTGTTATATCCTCGTGAACATTACATTACGAATAAAGTCTGAGACCCATAAATAGACAAATATTATTTATATATTCTTATGGTATAAATATTCAGTAACTAGATTATATATATCTAAGATATAACAGAATTATAAGATTGATTACAGATCTAATGATCAATTAAAGAATTAGGGGGTTGAAGAAACTTGGGAACTGACAGTACTTTATACGATGCATATACACAATAGAAATGTGATTACAATCTGTTGTGACGTCCATTCATCAATTAAAGATTTTTAACTGATCCACTACATCAAAATCCTAGAAAATGTCAAGGCTGAGACTACTACCAGTTATTGACTAAGACAATTATAGTTGATATACATAGCACGACTAATAAACAAGGACAAAGTTGAGCGATTCTTGAAATAACAATGGAAAAATGACCATTTTTCCATGCGGATCGTAACATTATTTATAAAGATGCATTGACAGTTTTTGATGTTTAAAATCACAGAACTAACTCCGTAATTATTCATCATTATGGATACAGAGTATTCTTTCAATCCAATCATCAAATCTTTACTATTACATGTTAATCTTAACACCAATTTAATTGAGGTATTAAAATAATAAATTATTTATTCATATCACCCCCATCTTCTGATTGGCCAGAAATAGACCATATACTTTCACAATTGTTTCTTAAATACATTCATGTAACCAGGGGGGGGGTTATGAAAAAAAACCGTATCAATATATTTTTCTCTCATTAAACTGAATCAATAAATGAACACATAGGGGTACAATATAAAAAAATTTAAAAACGCTACTTAAACAATACAGAAAAATACTAAATTTTGTTTCCAATGTTATAAAAGAACTAGAAATTATATTGTTGCTTACAATATAAAAGCCAATGCACATATAATAATTGGTAGTATTAAAAATTTACACCGAACAAAATTTTATCAAACTGTACACCTGAGTCTATAGGGATAGTCACTTTGGAATCAAAGTGAACGGAAAGACGAGCGGCACCATAAGCCGCACTATGCTTTAGTTGAACTAATTCTAAAGTCCCTGTCCATTTACTATCTTCAGATGGTTTCAGAAAATCTTTAAAACCTATTTGAAATAAAGAGAAAAAAAACTGTGAAATTAATCGAATTATTTTCCACTTTAAAATGTACCAGAAAGAAAGCTCAAATAATAAGACAATGTCAGGTTATATCAAAAATAGAATGGCTTATATCTATGTACATGCTGACTATGAGTCTTAGGTTCGACCCCGATACAGTGCTGGTACACTGCTGAGCAGTTCCATAACAGATCGAAACAGTCATTCAGCGCTCCCTGTTCTTTAGTGGTTGTCTAACTAGAGCCTGCGACACAAGTAAGAAAACTCAACAATCTTCACAAACCGCTTACACTAACCAGGTGTTAAGTTGATAGTGATTATTGTTAATTATGGTTTAAAGACTATTGCGTGAAATTCATGAATTTGATCGTATTCAGACCGATATGATTAAGTATGACAGACACAATCATCGGTACTTTTTATATTTAAGGAAAAGAGCAAGTTATATAAATCAGAAATGTATACTGAAATTAGCTGTAATTCATATCACACGCTGTAATATTACTTCGACTCGAACTACTGAGGCTAACAGTGTTCGATCACAGATACCTCCAAAACATTTCTAGTGTATGTTGGGACAATAAAGTAAGCAATGTTCAAATTAAATGAGGGGTACATGGTACAGATGACGAATTATTTGGAATATAGATTAAGTAAATCCAATCACCGTATACTTCAAAAAGGCTATGTTTGCCAGCGTAAGAGTAGGTCGAAGGAAAGCTAGAAGCGACCAAATAAACGTATAGCATTAAGCCATATATTCGCAACACTTACATTTGTTACCTCTCGTGGAAGAGCATAGGCCGTCCACCAGCACAGAGAAAAGCAATAAAATATAATAATCTTTGGATACTAAAATTTATGGCCAAAAAAAGTCGTTCAGTTTCAGCCATATATAATGGATTCAATTCGCGATCTACAACAACAATAACACTTCAACGAACAAATACAGATCAATCGATCAGTTAATCCTCTTTGGCTGGAAGTTAAGTGTGTAGACGATAGAGCCATTAGTCGAAATACTCTAAGAATCGCTACTGCACGACAATTTTGTAGAGGTAATTCGAAGTTAACGTTAAAAAAAAATAATGGAAATAGGACAAAAGGGATTTTCAACAGAAGCAAAGTATACGGATCAACCAATGAGATTTGGGAGCGAAATTTATTCACCATTTTGGCAACAAAGTATTCCTACATCAATATAACAGCTTGCGATGAAAATGTTAATGAATAATTTGCAAAGTCCATTACTCATGTTAAAACCGTTTAGTAACCGTAGTATTATTAGGCTTTTTCATTTTAACTCAATTCATAGTCAAACACTGATTCCCAATTGGCTGAAAAGCCGATCAAGGTTGTTTATATACTTTAGTCATTTCCATCGAATTTTTTATTACAGTTTAATTTTAAACGTTATACAAAACGGAAAATTACCATCTCTGATTAGATCCCAACTTTTGAATACTGAACCACAACAAACAACTGTTAAGTTTTGATTGGAAGACATTGAATCCTATTATGAGAAAAAATGTTGAAATGAGAAAGTAGGAAACATACTAATAGTATATAAATAAGTAGTATGTGTTTCCATATTATTATCAATATAAAGAAATTTCAAGAATTGACAAATAAATAAGAGAATATACAACTGATTTATCACTGATTAGTTGCCAATGGCATATTTGTCCAGCCTCTTTTTAGCTGCCGATCGAATACTATCGACCGTGTTGTAATTTGGTCGCTATTCTAAATCACTTAATATTGTACGCACTGTGTTCAGATGTCAAGTGGCTGGAAATAGTCGGTCGGCAGAGTTCAGCCAACACTTAGGAACGGACTAGAAAAACAGGACATTAACAAATGCTCAGCTATCAATCAATTGTAACTGTCTCAGATATCGAAAGCCGCCCAAACAGCTCAGTGGTAATGCTTCAGATTGAAGCTGAGCAATGCGGGTTTGGATAGCACATAGATCATTAATTCCTTTTAAATTGCAGATAAACCTGGTTGACGAGTTTCAACTAGTACGAACACTAAATCTAAGGTTTACAGCCATCTGCCTGACAGACAATAAGGTTTAATTTGGCAGTTAATAAAAATATTTAAATTCAAAAACAGCTAATAATCAATAAAACTTGAGAACAAATAGTCTTACAAATAATATATCTGGAGACAAAGCTGAGTCTAGAAAAAGATATGTGATATCACCCTTCGTCTACAAGATTCCGATTACCTTTATAACATACGATGACTGAATAATCAGGATACAAGCTGATTTATCAGATTCTTAACTATAACTAATGATGTCAAACGAATACACAACGAAACAAAAATAGATCAAATACTTTAGACGTTTCATTCGATTGTTTTAAATCGAGATGGTAGAGAAGATTTGTAGCTCGACTGGATGGTCGTGGTGAAGTTTTGTTTTCAGAGCTGGATATTTTGGTCATGGAGCTTTCATCGTTCTCCTGAACGACGTCAACAGTGAAAAGTTCAACTCAGAGAACAAAACCCCACCAAAATGAGTGGAATCAAACATAGTTTTTGTGACAGATAGCTAAGAGTTAAAGACTTATTGGAATTCCAAAACGTATTGAGCAGGTGATTCACCATTAAATTTCAATCAAATGAAGTTATGTAACTTAAAGTTTGAGTGAAGTGAATTAATAAATGAATCGAAGAATGAAAACTTAAAATCATACTATGTTAGTCAACTAATTTGCATATAATTGGTCTTTATTTCTCACATATTTAATTAATTGATTAGTAATTTCAACTGATAGTGATAGACATTTAATAAAATTAAAATGTATCTGCTGTAGCAATTACGCTAATAGAACATAATGAAAGACCTACACCTTAGACTCCACGAATAAGTATTTGAAAAAAATATTGAGTTAAAAGGAATGAAAGGTCTATAGTTGAGTGTTGTTGTGCACGTTGAACCATATAGTTAACTTGTATAGATTTCATAGTTGCTCTGGACAATACTACTTCATGAACTCTATATAAAGTAGACGATGATAATGCTGTCCGGAACTAGACAATGAAGAACTCCAAAACTAAACGATTTACTTTAGAAAACATGAAATCACCAAAAGCATCCACAAGATCTTCACACTTAAACTACATCAGTAATGAGATTTTTAGATAATGATACTGAAATATTAGATTAAGTAGTCTTATAACTGATATTCAAATCGATCATCCACAGCCAAATTCAGTATGTAATATTTATTTGTAAAATATTTTATTCAATCTTCATTGACTTTACTCAGATGACTGGTA